CGCCAGGAGGAGATGCACGAGCAGATGTCCGGCTACAAGCGGATGCGGCGCGAGCACCAGGCGCACTTGGTCAAGCTGGAGGAGAAGTGCAAGGCGGACATGGAGGCGCACAAGACGGCCCTGGACAAGGAGTACGACACGCTGCTGCACAACTTCACCAGGGACCTCGAGCGGCTAGAGGTGAGTTTGTGTGTAAGACGAGTGTGGGTTCCGAACCGACCATTGATCGATTGCAGACCAAGCACCAGCAGGACGTTGAACGGCGGTCGAAGCAGACGAGTGCCGCCGAGAAGAAACTACACAAAGAGATTACGCTGAAGCAGGAGGGCGACCGGAAGGTGTACGACCTTAACCGCAAGAAGGAGTACAAGGCGAACAAGGAGCGCTGGAAGCGGGAGCTCTCCATGGACGAGTCCACGCCCAAGCGGCAGCGCGATCTGACCCTGCAGTCGCAGAAGGACAACCTGAAGCAGCACGAGGCGCAGGAGGAGCAGCGCATGCTGCAGGCCCAGAAGCAGTACATCGAGTTGGAGATGCGAAAGTTCAAGCGCAAGCGCATGATCATGCAGCATGAGCACGAGGACCAGCAGCTCCGCGACGTAAGGGAACCACACGGAGACCCGAAATCAGTTCTAATCCTTTGCCTTTTGCAGGAGCTCGGAAAGAAGGAGCAGCAGTTACAGCAGGCGCACGAAATGCTCGTCAGGCACCACGAAAAGACACAGGAGCTGGAATATCGCCAGCAGAAAAGCGTGCATCAGTTGCGCGAAGAGCAGGTGAGTCAACGCATTTCTAGCTTTAACCTGAGAGTCTACCATGTCCTCACCAACCGTAGATAAACAAGCAACACGACACAGAGTTGCACAATCAAAAAGACTACATGGACCGCATCAAGAAGGAGCTGGTGCGCAAGCATGCGGTCGAGCTAAGGCAACAGCCCAAGAGCTTAAAGGTATGTATGGTATGCGCAGCCAAGAACAGCAGATTGTAACCACATTAGCCTCGCTCCAAGCAGCAAAAGGAGCTCCAGATACGCAAGCAGTTTCGGGAAACATGCAAGACGCAGACGAAACAATACAAACGCTACAAGGCGCAGGTGCTGCAGACGACACCAAAGGAGCAACAAAAGGAGGTCATCAAGCAGCTGAAAGAAGAAAAGCATCGCAAGCTGACGCTGCTGGGCGAACAGGTGCGTTGTTAACGTAGAAGAGGCCCTGAGTAAATTGGGGATGTACAAAAGATACAGGAATGGCCATGATTTACAGCTAATCCTTCATAAAAGTTTGTAGATTTGCGTTTTATATAAAAATACGACAAATTAAACTGATTTCTATTGCATTTTGAAAACCCATTTAAATGTTTAACGTTATTTGGATCAGGAACTTACAAAACTAAGGCATTGTTTTAATCTTAATAAACTTGAATTAACCAAAACAATTTAATTGCAGTACGAGCAAAGCATTGCGGATATGTTCCAAAGTCAGAGCTACAAACTAGACGAAAGCCAAGTGATCGAGTGCCAACGTACCCACGAGCAACTAGAGTACGAGCTGGAGATGCTCACTGCCTACCAGAACAAGAACAAGAAGCAGGCGCAGGAGCAGCGAGATCGCGAGCGTAGGGAACTCGAGAGCCGCGTCAGCGTGCGGCGAGGTCTGCTCGAGAATAAGGTGAGCAAATCCCAAGTGAAATTCTCTGACGGTGACCCACTGACATCTCCATATTCGTTCTCAACAGATGGACGCCGAGTTGCAGCAATTTAACCAAGAACGCCTCGAGCGCTTGCACATGAAACGTGAGAAGCATACTAAAGAATTGGAAGCATTTGATAACGAATCAATTGCCTTAGGTTTCAGGTACTTGCTACTAAATTTTGAAAAGTATATTCAAAATAATGCCTAATGTAATCTCGTTGCAGCACTTTATCACTAGTAGAGGTATCTCGTGAAGCCTATGCAGATGAGGAGGGAAGTCTGTCTGGTTCAATGATTAGTTTAGCCCATAGCAATAGTTCAACAAGTTTTCCGGCTGGTTCGCTATAGCATAGACAACAACAAGGCCAACCACAACAACAAGTGTTTAGTAATATAAACTACTTCAATTTTAATGGAAATTATAAAGCCAATAGTACGACACCAACAACTAGAACCCGACAAAAGCAGCAAAAATCGCAGCTAAAATAGCAAAAACAATCCTGGCTACCAATGTTTTTGTAGGAGGAACATGAACAGAAATCAATTAACATATTGGTTGCATAAAAAACATAAAACCCCAAGTATTTTCTAAAAGTTACAACAAGCAAAAGCTGCAATAGTTTTGTATTAAAGGAAATTCGATTGGAGAAGGCAACAAGATACTAACATTTGAAACCATTTAATACAAGATCAATCAAAAACAAAGAAAAATAAATAATTATATATGTAAGCATAAATGTCATACACAAACAATAACACAACAAAACAAACAAACAAACAAGCAAACAAAGAACAACATCAAACTTTGATATGCAAAGTGTTTAAATTTACGTTTAAATTATAACTTGATATTATTACCGAATAACTGAATCAATAACTTTTTTGATTTGTTAACCATTTATATTTGTGCTCTCGCGATGCAAAAAAAAATGTCACTAAAAAAATAAGTCGTGTATTATTTGTTAAAACTCGCGAAAAATAGATTATTCAGTTTGCCTTCGCATTCGAGTTTGCATGATTTTTAAATGTTATTTTCAATTGATAGTCGACGAGGGCTGCGATCGCAGTTCCAGGCACACATAGATTGCCATTTTTGCATGTTGTTAGGTTCAACATTTTCGATTTACGTTATGTTTTTCTTATTTTGACTCGATTCAAATAAAAGTAATTTTTAAAAAGAAAAAAATATAAAATTAATTTTTTATTTGCTGTACAATAAGTTTTATGGCCAAAATTATTATAAACCCAGCAAATATTAAAATGCAAAAAGATTCATTTTGTTTACAATTAATTTAGTTTTGTTTGTTATAACAAGAAGGATATAATATATATAAAACTAAAATAAGCCTATTTTAGAGTTAATTAATGCAAATTGCAAAATGCTTAGTCAAAACAATAAAAATTGTATAGAAAATTAAAGCATACAAACGTTTAATTATTTAATAATTTGTGTTTACGTGGAAATATTATTTTCCTTCAGTCGTATGTTGATTCAAAATAACGGAAACACCACACACCTACAGACAAAAAACACCTACATTTATGAAGGAAATCCATATACAAATAAATGCTCGGCAAATGCGAAAAAATGTAGCAAATAATATTTTACTAAACAACATAGAATGAAGAAACAAAAAAAACCAACCATATATTTCCGTTAGTCATTAAATTAAATTTAAAACAAATTTCTATAATTACAGTGGAGGAAGAGATTAAAATGGAAGGAGAGAGTGGAAATAAATATTCGGTAATTCGCTTGATATTGGAAGCGGGGTGGTACCAAATGATGTATGCGATAACCACGATGCACATTATTACTATTATGGAGGCGTATTATTTTGGTATATATTAACCTATATAAAACATGAGCGAAATGAAGGTAAACACGATAACGAGAGAGATAGAGATAGCTAAAAAGAAGCACGGGGAACACAATATATGTAATATTTTTTATGTTTATAAAATTGTTTTTTTTATTATTATAATTATTATATGAATATAAATTGTATTTTTGCAATTATGGTAAATGAAGATGGAAAACGAATAACAATTAAATTGATGCACGTCAATGTCAATAAAATAAAACTTATTTAAAAATACACTATCCCTTAGTTCGTGTTCTGCTTAATGGGACATAGAGTTGCCAACGGATGTTTTGGGTAGGATCTCGTATACAACAATAAAAATTCTAATTTCCAGCCACATGCTCAAGTATAACTGATATCTATTTATATCTTATTTTATTAGACATATAGTGCTATACCTATATGGCTATACCTTTGTGGTTATGTAGCAAATAATTCCACAGACACAAATTAGTTCTGCCGTGAAGATGAGACTCCATGACATGGTCCAATAAAGTGTTTTGATGAATCCAATCCAATTTTTTAGTTGTTTTTAGGTTATCATACCCTAGATACCTGTTTTAATGGACAAAATCAAATTAAACTCTTTCACAGGCTCGTAGAAATACAATGAATATCAATATCACTGCACTGAATCTGAATTATAAAAAAATCCGATCACGAAATCTGTAATTTTCTGAAAACAACTAATATTTCAAAAAAAGAAATAGGAATTGTATTTTTTTTCATTTATTTAAAATTTAAATTTTACATTTAGTTAAATAACTTCTGAGAAAAATATTTTTATCCTTCCTTCATCAATCGACGCAAATGTAGTCGCCTTTTAACTACATACCCACCCTTTCCTTATTAATTATACATCTATATGAGAATATTAATTACGGTAAATGAATTTAAAATTCATTAGATTTAGATACACAATTTGTTCGTTAAATTCCAACAAAAATAATCTCGGTTGACTTTGGTCTGCCTTTAAATTTTTTTTGATTTGCTGAAAAAAGTTACAAAACTCTTAGCAAAGAATCTTAATTCCATCGAATTTTAACTATTTCATTTTTTAGTGGCAAAAACCCAATCCGAAAAATCTCTGGGATCTTTTTACGTATTATTCTTGACACCCCTGCACAGTCCAAGTCCAGTTCAACAATTTTTTTTGGTGAACAATTATTGTGTAGGAACCAAAAAATCCAATCCAATGCAAAGGTCAAAAAAAATGCAAAAATAATATAAAATTATTTGTCATTTAGGAAACATTCAATGTCTTTGCTTTGAATTACAATTAACTTGAGTACACCGAATTTATATGACTCGTATACATTGACATCCTACAATTAAAGAAATAAATAAACATCGAAAAACACGCGTATAGATTGGACTGCCGGGGTTTACCGGCTTATATAATATCGATTAAGCGATTAAATAACTGTAACTGGTTAGATAATACAATATAACATTGACTAAATACTTTATTATGACATTATTTTCCTCGCACAAACTTGAATGAATTTAATTTGGAATCATTTTCACTTACACCTACAATCATTCATGTACATATTTAGGAGAATATATATATATATATATATATATGTATTTAAATACATATTCATTTACGATAAATAGAATATGAAAATAAATGCCGTAATTGAGAATATATATGCTTATGGGTTCCCGAGTGCCAGCGCATCTTTAATAACCATGTCATTCACAGCGCCCGTAGCACACGGAATGCTAATCCACATTCCAGATCGCAGCGCTGCGCCGCTTGCCCCTTCTTTTTGGCCTTGGCTTCAGCGGTTCCGACGCGTTTCATCCACGTGCCAGTCCGTGGTCGTTGGACAGGCGATGGGCCTCCAATCGGCTCAGCCGCCGCCCTCACGAGCTCATCATACTGTCCAGGAAGGAGTGTTTGTTGACGACCTTCGTGGTCGCAATCAAGAACTCTACGTTGTTGTCCTCCTGGGCGGCTAGGAACCGTAGTGCGGCGATTTCGGCGAAGGTGCACCCGCCCACGAAGCAGACCAGCACCACTCGTGGCACGTTCAACAGCGATCCCTCGGTGACCGTGGTGCCTGTGTGGCGTCCGCCAATCCCCACCAGCTGCGCTTGGAAATCTTCGAACGTCGGACCGGGCAGATTAGTGATCTGGCTCTTGAGCGACTGCCATCCTAGCGGCTTGAGCGAGTGCTCCACGAGGCGAGCGGTCAGTGGAGCGTAGAAACTGTGCACGTAGCTGATATCCTTCGGCTCCACCTCGACATTGTCGTCCACAGTGAGATGAAGTGTCTGTAAAAAGCAAAGTTTTTTTAATAATCACCATAGAAAAATCTTATCACAACCCTCTAATTTGATTTCTAACTGATTATAGGTTAAATTGTTTTTGATTTCGACTCTAATTAAATATGAATATGACTGATGCCATATATGTAAGTTTGAGTTATAAGTAATGTTTGGTGGTCTAATTGTTTAGTATAATCTAGGGAATTTTAGGAATGCGGTAAATCATAATTCTAAGAAATGTTTCGCTTAGACTTCTCCCAAATTTGATAATCTACTTATTTAACTAAACTTTTAGGGATGTTACTAAATGTTACTAAAAATTAAATGTGAATTAAGGGATGACCACTAGGGCTTTTAGATAGTTGCTCACCTTTCGCAGCACGCTGTAGGCCCGCGACTCCGTCTGCAGGTGCAGAAGACCCGACTTCTCCAGGTTGCTGATGGTGAGCAGCACCTCGAGGCCGTAGACGTGGACCAGCTCGCGCTTGTAGTGGTTGAGCAGCTTCTCTTTGAGCCCAGAGGCGGCGTTGCACTGGAGGCAGATGAGCCGCAGGACGCGCCGCAGGTCCACCTTGCTGGCGATCAGGTCCTCGATGTAGGCGCTCGGCTTGTCAATGTCCGCGCAGACCATAAACTCTTGCTCAGCGGCCAGGTCGTCGGCGAAGCGCACCGCGTTCACCTGCCCGTGCAGGAGCCCGGCGATGGCCGTATGCTCCGAGGTGGCCTTCTTCTGGACCATCAGTTGCGGCAGCAGGTTCTCCACAAAGCTCTTGATCTCCTGCACGCTCTTGTCCTGCGAGGTGGCGTGCATCTGGTTGTGAATTTCGCGCGCTTTGCGGGCGAGCAGTTTGGTGACCTCGTTGAAGTGCTTGTTTCGCAGCTCCGCGTACAGCTGTTCCCCAGAGTGTAGGAGGATGATCTTCTTCTCGGTCTCGCCCAGCAGGGACTGCGATTCCTCGACCCGCGGGCCACTGCCTCCGCTCCCGGGAATGGATCCGTCGGAGGGGAAGTTCTCCGCAGGCAGCCGCAGCTTGTTCTGCCGGATGCCGTAGAACTCGTCGATGAGCCCCTCATATGTGAGTTGTGTGGCCAAAGGGCTGAGCAGGTCGATGCCCCTGTCGAGCAGGATCAACTGGTCAACAACGCCCTTATCGCCGTTGTATAGCGTCCGCTCGTCTCGTCCCAACTGCTTGGCGTGCTCCCAAACCCTGTGCGCGAACTCGCCCTTGCCATAGATCTTGGGGATGCGCCCGTAGAGCCGCTGCAGCTGCACCAGACCCACTGCAGCCTGGTACAGCGAACTGGTGTCGCCGTCCACGCTTACGTCGCGGAAAGCGTTGGGTAGCTCCATTGACACCAGGTCGGCGTCCAGCGGCAGGTAGTTCCAGGCCAGCTCCTCAATGCGCCCAAAGCTGCCCAGCACGCCACTGGCCTCCAGTTGGCTGATGCACAGGCAGGAGCGACGCGGGGCGAAGAGGATGTGGTACTGGCGTCCGGACGCCGCGCGCCCACCGGTCTTCACGTGTCCTGCCAGTTGCTCCATCAGCGCCACCTTTGGGCGCACCAGGTACACAACGTTGGCTACCTCGCGCGGCAGGTGGAGCTCCGGCTTGAGGGCCAACAGCCGGATGTCTCGGTCGGCGAAGAGTTTCGGCCGAGTGACCAGGTCCAGGGGACCAATCATGTCCTCGTCCAGGACGATGACCTTGGAACCCTCGATGCGATCCAACTGCTGAACCAGTTCGCGGCAGGCGGCCTCCTGCAGCAATTGCAGGTTGACCCGCTGCCCGTGACCCTTCAGGTGGGGAAACATGCTCTGTGACTCGCGAATTATGTTCTTTATCTCACTGCGGCTTCCGGTTGACGGTGGCTCCCGTATCCTCAATGGCTCGACTCGGTGCGTTGGCGGGTTGCTGCAACGCCCACGAATTTCGGCTGCGGAAGATCAGAACCGCGACTGTGGGCGTTCTATAACAGCTGATTGGGCCTGCGCCTGCGCCGCAGTGGGACCGTAGCCCTCTGCCCCGAAAATCCCTTTTTACGGCTGTACTTCGCTCCCGTTTTACGGACCAATCACACCAACGCACGACTGATATATAAATCAAATAGACGATAAATAGTAAAATGTTAAATAAAAACACTATTTATGTCTTTCTATTGATTATTTCAAAAACATTTTGAACGTGTATATAAAAAAATAAAATACTTATTACAGAAAATACGAAAAAGAAGGATAACTATTAAAAATAATAAATATAAATATATACATTTGGGTATATTTATTTTATTGCTTATAAATATTTGTCTGCTTTTTGGTCATCATATTCCGGCAATCACCAATGACATCCTATACTAAAAGCAAACGCTGCTGAACGCGCCCATTATTTGACCGTGACTAGTGTTACCACAGCCTGAAAATTAAATACCAACTGCCGTGTTGCGATGCAAATTTTCTTCGATTTGTTTACGCCGCTTTTATTTGCTTGAATTTGATAACCGCGACATGGCGACCAACTAAAATGATCGCCTGCATCGCACCGAAGGATCGAAATAACCAAGAGATTACCGGCAGCTGACAACCCTGTCTCCGCACTCAACCGAAAAGAAAAGGAGAGCCACTCAAAATTTAACTCGATTTCTGGCAATTCGGCTGCTTAACTGTAAATAGCGAAGCGCGCAACTGTAAATCGCAACTGCAGTGATGAGTAAAACCGATCCGGTGCGCCAAGTGCTCGCCAATCTGATTTTCGAGACTCAGTAAGTGGATTGAGTGCACAGGTGGCCAGTCGCTGTGATCTAAAGTCTACCGTCTCCTCTTCTTCTTCTTCTTCACCGCCGCTTTCTACATCCTCCATTTTGAAACGGCAGGGCTCCCTATACGCCGGACAGCATTCTGCGAGAATTCCGGGCCACCCATGAGAAGCGTCTGCCAATCCACGAGCTGCTCCAGGTGCTGGTGATCATAAGCCGGAAAAGACCCAACTTCGAGCAGGTGATCACCGAGATCAAGCAGATCCTGAAGAGGTGAGTGTGATGGTGCTCCTGGCTTCCACCTTAATGTATACCTTCTCTTCCAGTAAGGATCCCATGTACGCACTGCTCGTCTTCGCTGAACGATATAGTGAAGACGGTCTACACCTTCGGTCCAGTCCGTTGAGTAATGAGATGGCGTCATTAGCAACCTCGCCGCTGCCGAGCAAGTCCTCGCTAAGCACATTGTCGGAAGTCCACGCCTCCGCTTCCTGCACCTCCCGAGGCAGTCTCGTTGACGAGCCACAGGGTATCGCTACTTCGACACCGTCGAAGTCCTGCGAATCCGAGACCGCCTTCAGCAAAGGACTCATCCCTAGGCGTCGCCAGTTGCAGTCGCAACGGAGCCAAGGTTCAAACAGGGAGGAGCGCGGCGATTTGAGTGTGGTGAGAGCGAAATGTGTTCGCTGCCGACTCTGTCCAGTCAACTAAACCTGTTCCTTTGCCCCAGATAAAGGAGCGGGTGCTGAATGCCGTGTCTAACCGATCGATGAGCAGCTATCGTACCCTGACCAGTGAAGCCGCAAGCGGAAAAACGTCAAGCAGCCTCAAGACAGGAACGCCCCCTGCGGTGCCGCCGACAGGCGTGCCCGACGAATATCGCACCCATTTGCTTTGGGACTACTACAAGGTGGACGGGAACCAGATGCCGAAGACGGAGATCGCAGCCCTGCCGCTTGTCAGCCAGCAGCGAGTGATTCTCGATGAGCTGCTGCATTGCCTAACGGGAGTGCGCGAGAACTTCGTTGTTCCCGTTCTGCCCGATCCATCTAGCGTGGGCCTGGCCAGGTTCGAGACGGTTTTCGTCGTAAACACGCATCTAGACCGCTCACTGGCGGAGCTAGTGCAGGAAATCTTGCCATTGGCCTCGCACTTCATGGGCATCCAGAAGATCGTCACAGCCACCGACGGCCAGGGTCAGGTTATCAACTCGCTGAATGAGGCGCTGCAGGAGCTTACCTACGACTTCTACGTAAGAGTTATACCTCCCACTCTTTGTATATGCCTAACTAACAGGTCGCCCTTTTCCTAAATCTAGCTGTTGATCGTACAGGCCGAACAGGAGCTGCACCACCAGCAGCTGACAATACAGAAACTGCTCTACTACCTGCAACCGACGCTCTGGGTGATGGAGGAGGTCTGGACGACATTGGTGGACATTCAACTAAACGAGGACCGGGGTGCCGCAGTGCTGACGCACCTGCACGAGCGGATCAAGCGGCTGGAAGGCGACCGGGCGGCTCAAAAACTGATCATCGGGCTGACGCGCAAGGCGGCTGAGCCGTATATGCGAATGCTGAAGCTGTGGATCCAAAAAGGCGTGATCGTTGATCGCAACCAAGAGTTCCTCGTGGAGGACAACGAGGTGATTCATCGCGACGAGCTGCCCGAGCACTATTCGGATGACTACTGGGAAAAACGCTACACCGTTCGCCGTGACCACATACCAGCGTTCCTTGAAAAGTACTCGGACAAGATCCTGCGCACCGGCAAGTACCTTAATGTGGTCAGGCAGTGCGGCAAGCGAGTGATGCCCACGCAGCAAATGCACCTTGAGTTCGACCCGAACAGCGAGCGCTACGTTTCCGTTATCAACGACGCCTACTACTTCGCCGCGCGCATGCTGCTGGACGTGCTGCTGGCGGAGAACGACCTGATGGGCCACCTTCAGTCGGTGAAGCGCTACCTTCTGCTCAACCAGGGCGACTTTACCATGCAGTTTATGGACGCATGCGAGGACGAGTTGTCAAAGAACGTAGATCATGTGCTGCCCATGACACTGGAAAACCTACTGGGGCTTACACTGCGCCTATCGTCCGCCCGCAACGATCCGTACAAGGACGATCTGCACTGCGAGCTGCTGCCCTATGACCTGGTCACGCAGATGTCGAAGATTATGAACCAGAAGGAAGAGTACTGGCAGGCACAGCACCGCCTTGACCTCAGCGGCATTGAGTGCTTCGCTTTTACCTACGAGGTGAAGTGGCCCGTCTCGCTGGTTCTAAACCACATCGCCATCTCCAAGTACCAGATGCTCTTTCGACAGCTCTTCTACTGCAAGCATGTGGAGCGTCAGCTTTGCAAGTGGGTTCCCCGTTTCTTCTCCCTCCGTCTGTCTCAAATCCTCGAAGCTTATTCTTCCCGCTCTTCTTTTGCCTGCAGGATTTGGAAGGAAAACGCTATTGCGAAAAAGTTCTCGCCGCAAGCGGCTGAGCTTTATCGGTCGGCGTTTACTCTGCGCCAACGCATGATGAACGCCATCCAGAACCTGGAGTACTACATGATGATAGAGATCATCGAGCCCAACTGGCACATCTTCATCGAGAAGATGAAGAATGTGGAAAATGTGGACAACGTGCTGCGACTGCACCAGGACTTCCTCGACTCGTGCCTCAAAAACTGCATGTTGACGGAGTCGTCGCACCTCAACCGTGCCATTTTCAAGCTGTGCAAGATCTGTCTTAAGTTCTGCGAGTTTATCCAGGTGAGTCCACCGGCGAAGGCACCAGGTGGCTAAGTTATCCAGCTATTCCCGGCGTCTGCTTCTCCCGTACAACTTTCTTGTCTTGTTCTTTGCTCTGCTTTTACACTCTCTGTCTCTCCCGCCTACCAATGCCTTCAATTCCAATTCCGAATCATCCATTCCCTTGCCCGCCTTCTCAGCGCTCGCAGCGTTTCTTCCTGGACGCCGAGCTCAAGTCAATGGTATGTGATAGCACCTACGACAGCGCGGACAGCTCCGAATCCGAACCGGAGAGCTCGCAACGGCCCCAGGTATTGTGTAGGCTTGTGCTTACCTTATTCGTTTCAGTTCCTGCGTTCTTTTGTACTTCTGTTGGCGGTGGCTCCTGTTCCGCTTTGCTCCCAAGGGAGTATAGCTGGTTCGCATGTCGGCATGGAATCCGATTCTTAATGATATGATTTCATCCCGAAAGCGGGTTGCATGTTGTTACCTATCCACTTTTGACTTCTGATTTATTTTTATGCATTATATTTTTATTGGTGTTATTTATATATGTGCATGAAATTTAATTAAGTCCTAAAACCGTACGCCTTAAAAATGTTAACGTTAAGTTAAATCGTTGTACATTATTTTAAAGTCTTACCCAGACAAAGTAACACAATACTAGATTGTTTTTTAATTAAAAACAAGGATGGTAGCCCTTAACCCTGCAGTTATAACAAAATGGAATTTTGTCATAAGAAACATCAGATAAATCAAGACCAATTGGTAATTTTTCGTTTATTTTAAGGATACATAAATGGCCATTTTATTTGAATTTTAAATTTGATCAAAATGACAACCTTATCAGCAACGTTCTGCCCAAATTATAAAATTAATTAATCAAATTTTGTTATGAATGCAGGGTTTTATATACTTCTGCAAATTTATTCTTAAAATATATTGCATTCGAGGGTCATATCGTTTTCCAGTAGTTAAGCGCCCTTACCATATAAATATTTATCGTAATTTATTTATATTAGCAATGAATATGAATTTTTTTACATTATTATTTATACAATATTGACTACAATTACTTATACATTTTTTTTAATGTATCCCAATGATTAATGTGTGCTTTTTGTGTTCTCTGCCAGTGTGAAACATCTTTGGATCCAGCGGATACTTTTTCGGAGCGGGTTAGGCGTTTTGATCTAGAATTCACCGCCTTGCTTATTTCGTTCCTTACGCAAATCACAAATATGGCCAAAAAGAACACCGCCGATCGTTTCATGAATCTCGTGCACAGAATCAACTTTAATGCATTCTATTCCGATCAAATGGATAAGCTTTGTGTGAAGGATGCCATGGGCTAAGCCAAGTCTTCGAACAAAAAGGATATGGAAGGCAGAAAAGACAAGAATAAAGTATTAGATAAATGAATTTATTAATCATGATTCACACATTTTTCTCATCATTCCCGCATGTCTTCTAATTTGCCATCCAACTAAGCACACAAATTGTTTTTCGTTTAGTTGTAAAAATCGAATTCTAATATTTATGTTTTAATAAACCCAATTAAATTGTCTGTCGCTGCCGTTTGCGTCTACACAATTGCAATCAACGTCACTGGACACGGTTTTTATGGACAACGTAAGCCAGCGGCGTTGAATGCTGGCTGTGCCGCCGACGTAGATCCTTCACTTCGTCCTTTCTGCCGCAACAAACCCGATCTTGCTCTGGTCGCCATTGCACTTATTCCAGAAACCCCATCCTCACTGTTATACCTATCAAATGTATATGACAGCTGAGACATGAGTTCCAGTTTAGCTGCAACAATCGTTTGTCCTGGTGGCCTTTTACCCCTTTGGTCCCTTCTGGTTGCTCCTGGCGGGATAGTTTTGGTATGGCAATAAGCAAGTTCACTTTTTTTTATCCTTGACCCTTTTTAGAGGTCAGGTGGTGATCTTTCGATACCAGTAATTTATTAAAGCTGCGTCCTGTGGAAATAACTTGAAAGGGAAAAAGGCTGTCTAATGAGTTTCTGGCTAACATATATAAAGCTAATTTAATAATTTTTTACTGTCCTGCTTTGCACAAATAAAACCACTAAAATACACATATGTTGTGTCTCCCTTCAATTTCTAAGTACCTTGTTTTACGCGGGTTTTATTTTCCCTTAATCTCAGTTTAACTATTACAAATCATAGTCAAATCTAAAGATTGTTTAAGTAAAATAAAATTATACAATAATATTACTAAATCCTTGGACTTGATCCTTGATCTAAACTTTTTAATTATATTGGTATTCTTAGTTTCGAGCTGTTAATAAATCGTCAAAAGTAAATAAAAAACGAAGTGTTTTTTCTTCCAGTAAGACATTTTGGGAAAGTCATTTCCTTTTTTTCGTTTTGGGAACTTAATTGTAGTTATAAGTCTTCAAAGCATTAAATGAGACATCCTGATTAGTCTCATCAGGCGAGAGCTTATAAATACTGAGCCTGCAGTTTTATGCTTTGATAAAGTTCCAATTCTGGTTTAAAAATACGCCATTTATAATTTAATGGATTGTTTTTATCGGTACTCAATGCTTTCTCCGCTTTTGAGGGACAGAATGTCCGAGTGGACAGGCTGAAAAGAACACACATCGCACATACGCCCCGATACACACCCACAAAAGCCAATTTGCAGGCAAGTTTTATGTAGTGCAAAGTCTGGTGGCCACATATATGTATCTACATATATACATACATATGTACTGCAAATATTGGAGTATATAAATATGCAGTCGCAGGGGCATATGGGTGCGTCTGTATGTTCGCCATTAGCCGTCATCAATGTCCAACCGTCATCTCTATAACATCTCCCGCAACTCCCGCATCTCCTGGCCCCCGGAATTCAACCCTCTGCTCCACAAGCAATTGGCAATTTAAGCTCGCATGAATTATCGACAATCAATTATGGTTTTTGGCCATGTCGCTCTCCGGACTCCATCCTCGTTCAGCGTTCTGGTCTCGAAAAGCCGGACTTGGACAGCCGGACAAACGGACAGACAGACAACCGGACAGCCGGACAACCGGACAACTGGACAACTAGACAAACGGACAGCCGGACCCGGATAGTCGGATGGTCGGATGGCCGGACGGGGCGTGCCTGTGTGCGATTGTGCGCGTCTGTATATGTTAATTAATCAAAAGCCCATCTATCTATCGATTCGGCATTTACAGACATATGCAAATTAAAAGCGTACAAGCAGCTCATTAATGTGCGCAGAAAAGCCTTCAATAACAAATGCGCTGATAGCAACAATTATAGCAACATCAGCATCCAAAGGAAAACAAACATGAATATCGTATCGCTTTAAAAACAATGATTTCATTTCGTTTACATTTTCTCATTAGCTTAAATACACAGTTTTCCATTAAAGTTTGCCACCCGGAGTTCACATAGAATAGTTCGTAAAACCACTAACCATACAATATATGTTGTATGGTTAGTGGTAAAACATTGGCTTTAGACCCTCAAAAGCACATTAGTAAATCTTTGAAATACCTCCATCTTTGCTGGCCACAGGTTTTTTTTGTATTTTTGTAAGAAGGAATATATATTTATATAATATATTTATTATTAAAGTTAGGTTCAAAGAATTAGTGAAGTTACTGCACCTGTATTTTTTATGAGTTGATCATTTTGTTTTCTTCCTTTGTTGAAGTGTTTTTAAAATCAAGATAAAAATATATAATTTAAGGAGTTACATGGGTTTTACGGATTTGGTTAAACGATTTGTATATCTAAAATACAAAAAATTTCAAATTCTTCTTTAAAAACCGAATTTTAGCCAATGTTAAATCTTTCAAATAATCGTTTTTCATATAATATATGTACGAGTATATCGGAAAGCATTAATCCGATTGATATTTGAAAACTTGAAGAGTAATCCCCATAATTGAATTCGATTGAAATTGACACACTTTCAATAGAAGCTGCTATGGCAGATATTTTCGATATGGTCGTATTATAGACATATTGAATTTTATTAAAACTGTATCGATATTTTATGGATGTTATAAAAAGGTTTGTTTAGGTCGTGAACAACTATTTGTAAAAATGTTTTCATAGATACATTACATGTTGCTTATATAAGGACATCTTGGTCCTTTCCTTGGTGCAATTAATTTAATTAGGATTAGCTTCGCGTAGCTCTTTTTTTTTTGAGAAACCCGGGCACTGTCGAATTGGAAGATTTAGCCAAACTCTGACCAAGGCACGGCTTCGACGACGTGAATATCTCACCGAATATCGATTGCAGGAAGGTGCGATACTCGCGTGATCGAGGCCAGACCTTGGTGTGGAATGGATGATGCTGGCAGTGGATGGGTCGGGATCTAAGATTTGGGATCTGGTGCTAGCGGAGAGGTCAGTCTGCTGGTCAGTGCACCGCTCCGCCATTAATGAGAACTAATCCAATGCTGCCGACTCGTCATTGGAGATGCCCTCACCAATGGCGAGGTGATGCTGTTTGCAGGCGGTTCCCGAGGTCCTGGTCCTCCAACGTTCGAGGACTCCGGAATCTCTGAGTGCAAACAACCCCCACATCCGTATCGGAATCAGTTTACATACTGGATGTAGGCAGTGTTTAAATTCAAGAATTCATCGTAGTTTCACCGTGGAAGCCCTTGATTTGTTGTAATTAAGTGTTTAAACTGGTAGTTAATGGTAGATAACTGCAGAAAATTTCTAAGGTTTCGTATTGTATATAGAATTTGTCATACAGTACGAAATCCCGGAAACTTGCTGCGATAATACCAAGATGTCTCCGGCCCGAATGGTCTTATTTCCCCGATGTAGTGACAGCGTAGGAATGAGTATGTTCTATATGTTTTATATAAATTTGGAAATAATATTTGTATAGCCAAGTACAATGCGCTAAATGGGGAAAAAAAAGTCAGTGGGCGGGATGTCTCGAATTTATTCAATTAGAAGGCCATACAGCTCGACGGATGTTGGATGTCGCCATGACTCTCACATGGGACATCGGGACTTTGGTGGCAAGCCAGCCGCCTTTTCAGCGGCACGTGTCCTTGGACAATGGACCGCACTACAAGCGCCCCACTTAGAAGGAAATCCGCCCCGAAACGCCCTCCAGGTAACACTTAATTGGGTGATACAATCACATAAATATAACTAAAAAGTGTCCTGCGATCCAAGGCTCTAAACGTCAGTAAACTCTCAATAGCTGTTTCATTGTTACATTAGCTTTGACCAAAAAGTATATCACTTAAAACATACATTTTCGAAATTTGGAAAGATATCTAAGTAAGTTTAAGTAAACACTTATTTAACCCAAAACTTATAAGATTTTTTTAATTTTATTATAATATAAATCCAAAATATATTAACCAAAAAAACCCAAACAAAGCTAATATTATATATCCCCGCTGCTATAACGAAAATTGTATTGTAATGTTTACCCCGAAATTCATAACTGACTCTCATGGTCCTTCGGAACTCTAAAGTATTCATCAGCACGGATATCTCAAAATGGGAATCGGAAACAAATGAAATGATTGCATTCAATAAGTTTAATAGATTTGCCACTCAAAGCGTGACCCATATACATATAAACAGAGCGAATCAGACAGACGCACGCGGAGTACCGAACAATCGCAATGAAAATTGGCGAACTTTATTCGCATGTTGTGGGCGTGGCATTGGGATTCACGTTTGTTTTTTTGTTCGTTTGGGGTGGCATTGGTATAGGTGGTAGTGGAGGTGGATGTGAAGGTGGAGGATGTGGAGGCCAGCAGGCAGGCAGATGCCATTGTCATTCTGGGCGGAATTAGGAAGCTCCTGAAAACAGGAGGTGACGAAATTAGCACACCCAGCCGCACACACGTGACACGGTTTTTGACTTCTTTTGACTCCTTGACTCCCGCCGCCATCCTTTGACTGCTCCTGTTGCTGTTTGTTGTTGCTGGTTGTTGGTCGTTGGTCGCTGGCAGGACTCGTTGTACTGCCAAGTGGAGGCACGTGTCTCAGCAAATTGGGTGATGACGTCGAAGGAACTGAGGTGGGACTGGGACTGGGAATGGGCATGGTCATGGGCATGTCCTGGAGGCGATGGCCGGGGGCAAGGCCGCAGCCAGGGGTCTGGAGCGGATGTTGCTGCACTTGTAATGCGGATGCGGATGCGGGTGCGGATGCGGATGTGGACGTGCACGGCAGCCACATGCCGGCAAACAATGGCATTGCGCTGACGCCAACGCCAACACACACACGCAGAAACTGGATCTGAAGGACCTCCAACACACACACACACACACACACGCATAAACAGGAGATGGGGGACCGCCAGGAGGAGGATGCAGGAGGCATCAGTCGACCAATCCTCTGGGCGCCAGTCCATGCATGTGCGGCTAAACAATGGCTCCAAAACAAACTCTTCAATGGCATCGTTGCATCCATCGCACCGAACCAGACTAGGGGTTTCTCTTCATAATCCTGATTTTCCTTCCAAGTGAATGCCAGACAACAACTTGATCTAAAGGTTGTAGTAAATAAATATATATATACTTTTTTTTGTCATGA